TGGAGCACCCCTCACCTGGAGCACCCTCACATGGAGCACCCCTCACCTGGAGCACCCCTCACCTGGAGCACCCTCACATGGAGCATCACTCACCTGGAGCACCCTGTCATCTGGAGCACCCTCACCTGGAAAACCCACATCTGGAGCACTCTCTCACCTGGAGCACACTCACGTGGCCCACCGCTCACCTGTAGCTCCCTCTCACCTGGAACACCCTCACCTGGAGCACCCCTCTGCTGAAGAACCCCCACCTGGTGCACCCTCTCATGTGGAGCACGTCCTCACCTGGAGCACCCTCACCTGGAGTGCCCCATTCCTACAGAACCCCTACGGGAGCATCCTTCACCTGGACCACCCCTTGCCTTGATGCCTGAGCACAGAGGAGTCTCCCATCCAGGCGGCTCGGAGGGTACTCAGGACTGGTTTGGGCGACGACCAGAGGCTGCTGGTACATCATTCCCTGAGACTTTGGAGGACCATGAGGAGAGCCACGGTCACTGCAGCACAGCACCTGTGGTGAGATCCCCACCCTTGAGATTGCTGTGCGGACCAGACAGGCACACGAACCCCCCACTGCCCCAGCCCCCTGCCCGGAGCATGGCCCCAGAGCACCCGGGAGTGTCCGTGTGAGGCAGCAGGCCATGGGTGTGCTTGGCTGTCCTGGCCCCTCCATGGCCAGAATGGCGACCCATAGGTGTGAGACCCTCACAGCCATGGGGGCACCCTGAGTGCCACGGGCGGTGGGATTGCTTCGATGCCTTCCAGCTCTGCTCCCTGCCTGGCTGGCCCCCTATCCAGGCTGAGGATGACTCAGGGCCCAGCCATCACCATAGCAACACACGTCGCCTAGCAATGCCGGTCTCCCGGTAACGGCTGTCTCCTAGCAATGGGATATTTTCCTGGGCCCTGGCTGGAGCCTGGCGGTTATTTTTAGCTCCGCAGCGAATCACTTGGCAGCTGCATTTTCGGCTCCTTGAGGAGATGCAAGGTGTAGGGGGTGGCTCTCTCGGCAAAGGGAGGAAGGCATCCCCAAGATAGGAACCTTGCTTCCGTGGGCCTGGAGTGCAGGCCTGTGGGTGGGTGAGGCCGGATGCTGCCTGTGCAAGGGGGCAGGTGGCCTGTGGAGGGGAGCCAGGGGTTGTGCAGGCTGCCTGGGCACGTTGGCAGCCAGGACCATGTCCTCGATGGGCCCTCAGGCACCCTGAGCCTCGCAGGTCAGCTGGGGGGGGGGACGAAGCCCGGTGCTCATGGCTGCACCATCAGAGCTTGTTTCTGGGTGGCACCGGGTCTGGCAGGCTCTTGGCACCCACTGCCCCTCAGTCGTGGGGGCTGTCTTCACTGTCCAGATCCCAACTCCACCTGGGGAGGGGGCAGCAGGGGGCTGCTGGGGACACAGGAGGGGCTGGCCTTGGGTCAGCCCACACCTCTCTCCTCACTCCACTGCCAGTAAACGGAGACACAGGTGGGGGTCTTGGCATGCGATATGACCCTTCTCTCCAGGCCTTCTCCCCATTTCCTGGGAGGAGGGTCTGTTTGCTGGCACATCCAAACTCCCCAGCTCCCTCAGCGCCAGCGGGCTGGGTGGAGCCGGCCCTGCTCACCTCCCCTTTGCAGAGGGGCAAAGGCTCTAAGGCACATGGAGCTTCAAGCACACGGGGAGCCCCGGGGTTCACCCTCTGTGGTCCCCAGTTTGTTTGAAGCTCCATCTGCCTCAGAGCCTTTGCCCCTCTGCTCCCCAGGGTTGAGGCTCCCTTCCTGTCCCCTCCCATCAACTCCCCTCGCCTTAGGTGTGGCTTCCCCAGGGCCCCAGCCAGCTCAGCCCCTGCCCTGGCTGTGACAGTCTGTGGCCAGCGCTATGGTTTCCCTGTCACTGCACCCCGTGGGGCAGCCACCTGTCCGCAGCCGCTCCCCTGTAGGACTCGGCGCTGCCTGTGCCAGGCACTGGTCGGGCCCAGCTCATGGGGAAGGCAGCACTGCCGTCCTCCTCTGGCCAGGACCTGTGTTCGGGGACAGCGCAGTGGCTGAAGGTGGGAACCAGGAGCAGTGACCAAGGTCTCGAACGCCCCCACCGCAGCAGCCCCTCAGACTGCACCTCCAAGGCCCCTCTGGACAAGCCAGGGACAGAAACCACGTCTCAGGCTTCGGGACAAGCTGCCAGGCTGGCTGCCCTGCTTTGCGCTCAGGGGCCTTGTGCTGCTGCATGCGTGTTTGGCCCTGGTCAGGCGGACTCGCAGGTGCGGGAGACGATTGTCCCAGCCTCTGCGCTCCCAGAGCAGCCTCACACGCCACGCCAAAGCTTCCTGAGGCAAAGCCTGAGGGAGGTTCTTCCCTTTGTCTGACTTGAGTCCGTCTTGCTGTCGTTCTTGTTCTGACTTGGGTGGAAATGGGGAGAGGTCCCTTCTGGGGTTTCAAGTGACTGGAGGATCTGGGGCTAGAGGGGGGCCCCAAACAGCACAGACAACTGGGGCATCACCTGAACTTTGGGATGGCTTCCAGGCACTCCTCTGCCTGGCCACCCTACACGTAGTCTCTGGGTTATTTTATTTATTTATTTTTTTTTGAGACAGAGTCTCACTCTGTTGCCAGGTGCCAGGCGGGAGTGCAGTGGCACAATTTCGGCTCACTGCAACCTCTGTCTCCCGGGTTCAAGCAATTTTCCTGCCTCAGCCACCTGGTAGCTGGGACTACAGGCGCACACCACCACGCCCAGCTAATTTTTGTATTTTTAGTAGAGACAGAGTTTCACCATGTTGGCCAGGATGGTCTTGATCTCTTGACCTCGTGATCCGCCTGCCTCGGCCTCCCGAAGTGCTGGGACTACAAGCTTGAGCCACCGCGCCCAGCCTGTTTTTGTTTTTTTTTGTTTTTTTTTGTTTTTTTTTAAGATGGCGTCTCACTCTGTTGCCCAGGCTAGAGTGAAATGGCGTGATCTCAGCTCACTGCAACTTCTGCCTCCCGGGTTCAAGCGATTCTCCTGCCTCAGCCTCCTGAGTAGCTGGGATTACAGGTGCATGCCACCATGCCTGGCTAATTTTTGTATTTTTAGTACGGGCGAGGTTTCACCATCTTGGCCAGGCTGGTCTCGAACTCCTGACCTCGTGATTCACCTGCCTTGGCCTCCCAAAGTGCTGGGATGACAGGCATGGGCCGCCATGCCCTGCCCATCTCTGGGTATTTACTGCGCATGCACCCTGGCACGTTGGGTTCTGTTCCCATAGCAACTGAGGTCGGACTCCGCCATCCAGGCCCATCCCGTAGGCAGCGGAGCACCCACTGACCCAAGGTGCTTTCCTGGGTGGGGCCAGGGGCTGTGAGGAGAATCGGTGTGTGTCCAGGGCTGCTCCCATGGGTGGCACCAGGCCCCCGGGAGATGAGGCTGGAGAGGAGGTAGGGAGGTCCGGGGTTGAGGCATCAACTTGGGGCCAGGCATGTGCCCTTCCAGACCAGGTCATCCCAGCAACCCCTCCCTCCAACCACAGACACTGGCCCCTCTCTGGGGAGGCCTGGGAGGAAGTCGGGGCCCAGGCTGTCAGGAGGGTGTCTGGGGCTGATCCTCATGCCGCCACCAGAGGGTGCTTGAAGCCCGCCGTGGGCCTCGGAAGCCTGCGCTGGGCGGCGCTGACCCAGGGACCACCGCTGACCCAGGGACCACCGCGCAGCTGCAGCCCCGGGGGACCCAAGTGCCTCTCCCAGCCCCTGCAGCTGCAGCAGCGGACCTGCCAGCCTCTCCTAACCACTGGGAACACCTCATGTGCCCAGCCTACCCTTTTCATTTTTGATTCTTTATTTATTTAGTGTATTTTTGAGACGGAGTCTTGCTGTGTCGCCAGGCAGAGTACAGTGGTGCGATCTCGGCTCACTACAACCTCCGCCTCCCAGTTCAAGCGATTCCCCTGCCTCAGCCTCCTGAGTAGGTGGGACTACAGGCGCCCACCACCACGCCTAGCTAATTTTTTGTATTTTAGTAGAGATGGGGGTCTCACCATGTTGGCCAGGATGGTCTCCATCTCCTGACCTCAGCTTCCCAAAGTGCTGGGATTACAGGTGTGAGCCACCCAGCAGACTTTATTTATTTATTTATTCATCCATTTATTTTAAGATGGAGCCTTGCTCTGTCACCAGGCTGGAGTGCAGTGGTGTGATCTTGGCTCACTGCAACCTCCATTTCTCTGGTTCGAGAGATTTTCCTGCCTCAGCCTCCCGAGTAGCTGGGAGTACAGGTGCCTGCCACCACACCCAGCTAATTTTTGTATTTTTAGTAGAGACAGCGTTTCACCATCTTGTCCAGGATGGTCTCTATCTCCTGACTTCGTGATCCGCCCACCTTGGCCTCCCAAACTGCTGACATTACAGGCGTGAGCCACTGTGCCTGGCCTATTTAATTTTTAATTTTTATTGAGATGGGGTCTCACTCTGTCCCCCAGGTTGGAGTGCAGTGGTGCAATCACAGCACACTGCAGCCTCAGCCTCCTGGATTCAAGCATTCTTCCCACCTTGGCCTCCCAAAGGGCTAGGACTACAGGCATGAGCTGCTGCACCCAGCTAATTTTTGTATTTTTAGTGGAGTTGGGGTTTCGCCATGTTGGCCAGGCTGGTCTTGAACTCCTGACCTCAAGTGATCCTCCTGCTTCAGCCTCCCAAACTGCTCGGATTACAGGTGTAAGCTGCCACACCTTAATTTTTGGCCTTAATTTTTATTTTTAATTGTAAGATATACATCATAAACTCTACCATTTTACCCATTTTAAAGTGTACTGTTGAGAATATTTATGTTGTTGTGTAACCAAGCTCCAGAACTCTGCCTTCGTTAGGCCCCAACCCCACCCCCCTCCCCAGCCCCAGTTCCACTTTCTGTCCTCCTAACCTTGCCCAATCTAAGGTGACTCACAGAAGTGGAATCCAACAGTTCTTGTCCTTGTGTGTCTGCCGTATTTTGCTCAGCACAGCAGCCTACAGGCTCACACAGACCCAGACCGTAGCAGGCGTCAAGGCTGAAGCGGCAAGGGGCACCAGAGCTCCACCCTTTTTGTGGCTTCATATGACCAGCACACCACCCAGGGCAAGGGGCCAGCCCAGCCCAGTGGGCACCTTTTTCCTTTTTGGCCTGGGAGGGCCCTGGGGTTGAGGGAGGGTGTGGTCAGTGGGGTCCAGCCTCCCACTGCCGCTGGGCCATATGGCCTCATATGTCCACCATGAGTTTCAAGCACCAGGTGGCTGGAGTTTGGGGACAGGGGACAGAACGTTCAGATCTGCAGGCTGCCTAGTCTCTGCTGGTCCTTGCAGGCCCCGGTGAAAGCTTCTCTTGTCTTTAAGGGGTTCAGTGTGTAGTCAGATCCTTTGGCTTGTGCCTTAGGCCTTCTGTGATCTGACCTGTTGTCCCTGCCCACCGCCCGTGCCCTGGGGTTTCACCAGGCTGCCAAGAGCTCCTTCCCCAGGGTCTTGACCCAGGCTGTCTGCTCTCCTCGATTCTCTGGCCAGCCACTGCCCACTCCCACCCATCAGGCCAAACTCAGGGGTTGGGATGTTGGGAATCCCTCACTGCCCCAGACTGAGGTGAGAGTGTGTGTGAGAATCTCCCGTTTCTGCTTGTTTCGCCTTGGTGGGGGCTGCTCCTGTGTCTCCACGTGCTGCAGGCCTGCAGGGGTGCCTGTGGCTGCCCTATGCACGTCTGGGTGGGTGTCAGTCCTCCGGCAACCATGGGGTACCACTAGGTCTGAGGAAAGGGGCCCAAGCCTGCGGGCTGCTCGCTCCACAGCAAGACCCCGACCTGCGGACGGCCTTACCAAAACCCAAGGCCTGGCCCAGCTCCAAGGCGCAGTCCCCAGGCCAGGCCATCCCCACCCCTGGAGTCATGACCTCTCTCCTCAGGGGCACCAAATGCCACTGGGGAGCGGTCAGCAGGACCGTAGCAGGTTGGGAGGGATGTGGGCAACAGGCCCAGGTCCCAGTGTCAGGAAGGACGAGACCCTGCCGCCCAATCAGGGGGCGTGGGAGAGCCACCTGGTGGGCCACCTTCCCTAGCACCCCCAGATTCCGGTGGACATGAAAACCCCGGCTCCATCACGGGCTCCAGGGCTCGGATCTGGACGGCGCGGAGGGCGAGGCCAGAGTGAGGGCGCGGGTAGGGGGCGACGCACAGCGCGGGGCGGACAAGGAGCCTCCCTCGCGCGCCGAGGCCCCGGGCAGCGCTGGGGTCGTGGGATCGTCCTCCCGCCGCGCCCGGGCTCCAGCCCCGCCCCCGTCCCGCCCCCTCCCCGCTCAGCCCCGGCTATTGGTGGAAAGTTCCGGGCCGCGCCGCGATTGGTCGGGGCGCCACCGGCCCCGCCCCTTCCCGGCCCGCTCCGAGACGGCCCTGGCGCCTGAGCCGCGCGGCGGGCGGAGCGGCCGCGGGCGTGGGGGCTTCGCCGGGGCCGGGCGGCCGGCGCCCGGGACTGCTCCCGCCGCCGCCCGGACCCGCGTCCCGCCGGGGCTGCTCCCGCCGCCGCCCGGACCCACGCCCCGCCGGAGCAGCTCCCCGTGGGAGCCCCGAGCCCCCGACGCCGCCCGTCGCGCCATGGCGTTCCCGGCCCCCGCGCTGCTCTGCGCGCTGTGCTGCGGCCTCCTGGCCGCGGCCGCCGGCGCCAGCTACTCTAAGGAGCGCTGCAGCTGGAGGGGCAGGTACGGCCCGGGCGGGGCGCTGTCCCCGAACTTGGGACGGGGTGCGCTGCGGCCTGGACCCCCCCATGCGCCTCCTGGAGCGCGCAGAGCGCTGGGCGGGTTTCCCCCTCCGGGAGGGTGCGGAGGCTGCGCCCAGTGGGGACCCGCCCCCGCCTCAGTCCCCGTCCCGTCCCCAGCGGCCTCACCCAGGAGCCCGGCAGCGTGGGGCAGCTGTCCCTGGCCTGTGCGGAGGGCGCGGTCCAGTGGCTTTACCCGGCTGGGGCGCTGCATCTGACCCTGGGCGGCTCCGACCCCGGCGTGCGGCCCGGCATCGCCTGTCTGCGGCCGGCGCGGCCCTTCGCGGGCGCCCAGGTCTTCGCGGAGCGCGCGGGCGGCGCCCTGGAGCTGGTGCTGGCCGAGGGCGCGGGGCCGGCAGGGGGCCGTTGCGTGCGCTGGGGTCCCCGCGAGCGCCGGGCCCTCTTCCTGCAGGCCACGCCGCACCGGGACATCAGCCGCCGCGTGGCTGCCTTCCGCTTTGAGCTGCGCGAGGACTGGCGCCCCGAGCTGCCCCCGCAGGCCCACGGTCTCGGCGTGGACGGTGAGTGGTGGTCTGGGTGGGACTTAGGGTTGGCGTGAATGTACCTTGTCCGCCCCACTGCAGACGGAAAGAGTGAGGTCCAAGGGTTCAATGGGCTTGTCAGAGGCCACACAGCTGGAGACCACCAGGGTGGGATGGCCTTCCCGCCCTCCCTTTCCGATTCATCTCGGGAAGGAGCTGGCAGGTGCACAGTGGAGGAGGGAGGCCAAGCAGTGCAGACTTGGACCTCTGGTCCCTGAAGGGTTGCAGGAGGGGATGGTAGGGGCAGAATGAAAGCCTTGGGCCAAAGCTGTCCAGGCTCCCTGGCCCAGCGGGGACCTCTCTCCCCTCCCCCAGCCCAACCCACAGAAGTCCTGTGTGCAGCCCGGTCACCATGGAGACGCTGCCCGCCTCTCTGCAGTGCGCCAGGCCCAGCTCTTGGCTCTCCTGGAGCTTGGCGCCTGACCCTGCAAGGGATAGGCTCTCATGATTCTGCCCCCGGCCCTAAGCCAGGGACCCCAGAACCTCCCCTCCTCTGCCCCCACCTCCTATCACTCTAACTGGGCTGCTGCTCTTCAGGTCCCAGATCCGGGAAACTAGATGGGTCCCAGATGCTGGGGTACACGTGTCAGATGGGGGTTAGGAGGGCCGCCCGGGACAGCTGATCGCCTGGCACCTCCCCCAGGCCCATGTCCGTATGCGTTCCTGCCGTCGAGGTGTGTGCCTGCAAGTGTGTTTCCCGAGTACTGGTGCCGAGGGTGTGTGCACCTGCCACGTGGCTCCCTGGGATCCCCAGGTGCCCCCAGGCTCTGAGCACGGGCTCTGCTGACTTGCCTGCTGCCTCCTGCCCCTGTGGAGGGATGGGGCCTGGGGTGCTGCCAGGAGAGGGCAGGGCCTGTCCTCACCACCCTGTCTGCATGCCAGGTGCCTGCAGGCCCTGCAGCAATGCTGAGCTGCTCCTGGTCGCGTGCACCAGTGACTTCGGTGAGTGTCCTGCCATGGGGGGAGCCTGGAGCCGGCCTTCCCCTGAATGCCCACCCCAGCCAACATGCCCCCCGCAGTAATTCATGGGACCATCCACGGGGTCACCCACGATGCAGAGCTGCAGGAGTCCATCATCACCGTGGTGGCCGCCCGTGTCCTCCGCCAGACACTGCCGCTGTTCCGGGTGGGGGGCTCCAGGGACCAGAGGCTGACCTCCATTCGTACCCCGCTGCACTGCGGCGTCCACCCTGGCCCAGGCACCTTCCTCTTCATGGGCTGGAGCCGCTTCGGGGAGGCCTGGCTGGGCTGTGCCCCACGATTCCAGGAGTTCCGCCGTGCCTACGAGGCTGCCCAAACTGCCCACCGCCACCCCTGCGAGGTGGTGCTTCGCTGAGGGAATGGGCGCAGTGCCAGCTAGACCTCCTCTGGGGCAGGGTGCTGGGGAGGGGCTGGTAGGAGGGAGGGTGGGGGGCCCACTGCTTTGGAGGTGATGGGGACAATCAATAAGAACTCTGGTGACATGAGCTGCTGTGGATCTGGTCTTCTGTGTCCAGCCCAGGCCTGGGCCTGCCTTGCAGCTGTGAGGGCGGTCCAGTTCCTGCCTCCTGGTGGGATACTGGGGGGATGGTACCTTGTTCAAGACTATTTGGCAACTGAGAGGGATAGCAGATGTCAGGGGGAGCTACAGGCACATCCTAGGGAGGGGCTGTTGCTGGGTGGGGGCCACAGGGACCTCCACTCACGCAAGTTTCTGCTCTGCTGCACCCACCTGCCGCGTCCTAGCCCAGCCCTCAGCTGCTACCCTGGCAGGCTTCCACTTGCCTCCTGGGCCAGGTGCTTCCAGGGCTCAGCAGGAGAGGGAAGGGGCGGAGGGGCCAAGGGTCCCTCAGGTGTGGTGGGGGCAGGCAGGCGCATGGCGCTCTGGCTCTGAGCCAGGCAGTCTGGCAGGGTGCCCACGTCCCTCCGTGGCTGCTGTGAGCCCGCAGTCATCCTTGGCCCTGTCCCACCCTTGGGGAAGAATGGGCCCCTCTGTCCACAGGCCCCTCCAACGTGCCAAGCATCCAGACGTGGCGAGGAGCCCGAAGGGTGTAGGGTCCCCTCTGCAGGGTTCTGCTTGTTGCCTGTTTCCGGCGGGCAGGGTGCACAATGGGGTCTGTAGGGACTGTTTCCCGCCGCTGGCCCCATTGTCACTGTCTCCGCCTTCCTCATCGGCCTTTCAGCCACATAAAGGGCCAGTGAGGTTTGGGACAGCCAGAGCTCCAGGCCTGAAGGCTATGCCCCTGGGTGGGGGTGTTCCAGGCCCCCTGGCCCTGTTCAAGCTGCGTCCTCTCACCCCAACCCCTCGGATCCTGGGAAAGAGACAGCCACGGCTCAAGGGCCAGGGGACCCCTGGGCTGGGCCCCAGAAACTGTTGGCTTTCCATTCTCACCTGGGCCAGGGGTGGGGTAGAGGCCAGAGGCCCTGCCCAGGCAGATGAAGTCCCCAACTTTCAGGGAGCAAAGTGAGGCTGGGTGAGGGACACAGCTGTGCAGGGCACACAAACAAGGCCCTTCCTCCAGATCTGTGGATGTAGGTGCCTGGTGGGTACATGCCCTCTGTGGACCCGTGGGGGGGATCACGTCCATCACCACCCTAGGACTTTCACGGGGCAGGTTGTCTGAAAGCTGCACATGCATGGGGGTTATGGTTTCACAGATCGCCTGCCTGCCGTGGGGCTGATGAGAAGGATGGGTGAGGAGCACAGCTGCCTGGGTGTCAGTCACTGGGGTGGGGGTCCTCCCACCTTCCGCTCCTCCTCAGGCTCCTTGCTTCTCTCCTCTCCCCAGACTCCCAACTGGGGCGTGCTGCAGGCTCAGGGACAGGACCACTCCTCTGGGCAAGCCTCCAATAATACTTGGACAACCTCCACCTTTTCATCCAGCTCTGACCACTCCCTGGGCCCCATGGCCTTACATCCATCTGCCCCCAGCCCAGACACTTCCGAAAAGACTAGAGGAAGAAGCCCATGTGCCCTCCCTCGAAGCCTTCTCCACTCCTGTCTCGGGACGCTTTCCCAAGGGCTGAGCAAGCCCCTCACCTTTGGCACCTGCCTTGATTCTCTGGCCAGCTTCCTACAGCCTCTTCTGTTGGCCACACCCAAGCCCACCTGTTCACAGACAGCCTGGGCTGGGCCCTGGCTGCACCCTGCCCTCTGCCCACCAGCCCCAGGAAGTCCCTAAGCCTTGCACCTACAGACCCTCCCAGAGAAAGCACTGGCTTTGCAACCAGCTGTCTTTTCATGACACACAGGGCCACAGGAGCGCCACAGGTCTGGGAGCATTGGACCAGAGGCTTCATGCCTGCCCTGGGGATGACCGGCCAAAGTGGCATGGGAGTCAGGGAGACGGTGTGGGTGAGCATGTGGGCGGAGCTACAGGAGCCTGGGGCCTCGTGGATCACACACTTCCAGGCAAGTGCTAACTTGCATGGGCACAGGTGGCTGCAGAGTGCCCAAAGGCCAAGGAGCAGCATGCCCAGTGTGGACGTGAGTGGTGAGTGCACGCCAGAGTCCAGTTAGGTGCATTCATCCAACAGGCTTTTCCCGAGAGCCTTCTGGGTAACTGCTCCAGGTGCGGGTAAGAATGCAGGGAGCAGGACAGGAATGGATGCTGTCAGCTCTCCCCCAGAGCTCAGTGCACACACTTCCTTTCTTGGGAGGGCCGTTCCAGGCCCCCAGGAGACAGGACACACTGCACTGGGTGGGGCTGGGGCCAGCATGTGGGCAGCCTGAGAAACACTGCACTTGGAGATTGGGGGCAGTGGTCTGGGGCATACCCATGTTGTCTGGAAGCAGCCTCTGTCCCTACAGGGGCTCCTGACCCCAGCCATGGATGGCTAAGGAGCCAGACCAGGGCAGGCACAGGCAACCCCGTACATTCATGGGCGTCCAGCCCTACCCTGGGTGTGGAGGTCGCAGCCCTGCTGCCTGACACAGAGCTCAGCTCTTCCACATGCACCTCCACCCCCGGCCTCACAAGGTCACCTCCAGAACTCAATCTTTTTTTTGAGATTAGTTTCACTCTTTCGCCCAGGCAGGAGTGCACTGGCACCATCTCAGCTCACTGCAACCTCTGCCTTCCAGTTTCAAGCGATTCTCCTGCCTCAGTCTCTCAAGTAACTGGGATTATAGGTGCCCACCACCACGCCTGGCTGATTTTTGTATTTCTAGTAGAGACAGGATTTCACCATGTTGGGCAGGCTGGTCTCGAACTCCTGACCTTGTGATCTGCCCCACTTCGGCCAGGCGTGAGCCACCGCGCCCGGCCAGGAGCTCGATCTTTGTGTTCTGCGTTCTGGAGAAGGAAGGTGATCTCGCAGCCAGGGCTGTCTGCCTCCGCGGCGGCTGGGCAGGCGCCAGAGCCCGGCCTGTGACATCCTCCCGCCGGGCCCACTGGAAGGCCAGCCGCCGTCTTCCTAGGCCTGCTCAGGCTCTCCGCGTCAGCCCTCTCCCTCGGCCCCAGCCCCCACCCCTCTCGCGCCCACTGGGGCTCCGCACTCAAGCCGCAGGAGGGAACCGGGTGTCCTGGGTCAGCGGAGCGCCCCCCACCAGCCTCCGCGAGTCAGGGGCGCCTGGACGCTGTCACCCCGGGGAGCCGCTTTCCCACGGGCTCCCTGGGCTCCGGCCGCCCCGCGCAGACCCCCGGCCGGCTCTGGGGCCGGGACCGCCCCTCTCCAGGGCAGTCTCCTCCTTCCACGCCGCAGACGCGCAGCCCCGTGTTTCTGGGGCTCTAGCCCGAGAGACCAGCGGGACGTGCGCTCCCCCGGCCGGGGCCTGCCTGGCCCCTTCCGCGGGTCGCCAGCACCCAGCACAGGACGCCAACGCGCTCCGGAGCGGACCAACCGGGCCGACCCTCGCAGGCTGGGGCGGGACACGGCGGGGCGGGGCCCGCGAGGCTGCCGTTCGCCGGAACCCGCGGGAGGGCAGCCGGGCCGGGCGGAGCGCACAGCGCAACGGACCGACCGCGCGCGCTCTGCCGGTCACTTCCGGCGTCTGGCAGCGGCGCCCAGCGGGAGCGGGAGGGCGCAGCGTCAGCTCCGGGCTCGGCTGCGAGGCCGCGGTCCCGAGCCGGGAAGGACGCTGGGCGGGCGACCCTGAGCCGCGCGTTCCGCAGCCATGGAGCAGGACGACCCGGCCGAGGCGCTGACGGAGCTGCGCGAGCGGCGGCTGGGCGCGCTAGAGCTGCTGCAGGCGGCGGCCGGCTCCGGCTTGGCGGCCTATGCGGTGTGGGCGCTGCTGCTCCAGCCCGGCTTCCGGCGCGTGCCGCTGCGGCTGCAGGTGCCGGGCGGGGCCGGGGCGGGGCCAGCGGCTGCCGCTCAGGGGCGGGGCCGGGGCGGGGCCAGCGGCTGCCGCTCAGGGGCGGGGCCGGGGCGGGGCCAGCGGCTGCCGCTCAGGGGCGGGGCCAGCGGCTGCCGCTCAGGGGCGGGGCGGGGCCGGGGCGGGGCCAGCGGCTGCCGCTCAGGGGCTGGGCGGGGCCGGGGCGGCCTCCGCCCCTCGCCGCGGGGTGGGGCCGGACCGCGGGCTGGGTGGGGGCGGGAGCGGTCGGTGGACTCCCGCCGCCTCCCTGTCCAGGTGCCCTACGTCGGCGCGAGCGCGCGGCAGGTGGAGCACGTGTTGTCGCTGCTGCGAGGCCGCCCTGGAAAAACGGTGGATCTGGGCTCTGGCGACGGCAGGATCGTAAGTGCCCGCGCCTGGGTCTTGGCCGCCCCACGCCCCCCACCTGCCGGCCGGCGCCCTGCCCCATCCCGTTTCCCACCTATCGGTGCCCACAGGTGCTGGCGGCCCACCGGTGCGGCCTCCGCCCCGCCGTGGGCTACGAGCTGAACCCGTGGCTGGTGGCGCTGGCGCGGCTGCACGCCTGGAGGGCCGGCTGTGCCGGCAGCGTATGCTATCACCGCGAGGATCTCTGGAAGGTAACCTGGGGAGCCCTGGCCACCAGCTGACACCTGCGAGGGCTGGGGGCCGGGACTCGGAAGCTGCGGGGACCCCGTGCCCACCAGGCCTCTCCCCGGCTGGGGCAACGCCTCTTCCTGCAGGTGAGCCTGAGGGACTGCCGAAACGTGTCTGTGTTCCTGGCCCCTAGCGTGGTAGGTCCGGGATTGCCAGCCCGCTGGGAAGTCCCTGCCGCACCCCAGGGTATTCACTGCCCTGAGGCCTGGGCCGGCCTGGGGGATGCTAAGCTTAGGCCTGGGAAGGGGGCGCAGGGTGGCTGCTTTCCGCTGGCCCCACGCTCTGTATTCTGCTCTTCTCTCCTTCAGCTCCCACTGCTGGAGGACAAGCTGCAGGCAGAGCTGCCTGCCGGGGCCCGCGTCGTGTCTGGGCGCTTCCCGCTCCCCACCTGGCAGCCAGTGGCCATGCTTGGCGAGGGCCTGGACCGAGTCTGGGCGTATGAGGTTTCTGGGGGCGGAGGAACCTCCGCTTGGGAGGCTGCTTCCTCTCAGTTGCCCCTGGACCAAGCTGCTCCTGGACCTACTTCTGCCTCTGTCGCGGGGACCCCCATTTCTCAGGCAGGGTAAATGTTCAGACAGATAAAAACTCTGTGGGTTCTATCCTTATTCATGTTTTGGTGGGGGGGCTGGCTGGGAGGGCTCTGGGCTGGCTGTGACGGGATCTGCTCTGCTCCTCAGGAGACGAGCTAGTAGCTGCCGGTCCTTGGATTCTGGGGCTTGGCTGGAGGCACAGCCCCCACTTTCCAGGGGTCCCCTGCACTGGCCAGCTTCCTCAGCCTCAGGATTTCCTGCTTGTACCTGCTCAGAGGGACCAAGCTTAAGTCACCTGCCCAGCTGTGGACGGGTCTGCCTCTAGCCCCCGAGATGGCCATCATCTTCCATTCCGGCCAGACCAGGGCCCTCGGGTCACACCCAGCTCCCCTCCCAAGCGCCCACCTGCCCAGGTGCTGATCCACGTACTCCTGCAGCTCAGAAAGTTGCTCTTCAGCCTTCGTGGCCCGGACCAGCAGCTGTGCCCGCTCCCGTTCCAGCTCTGCCTGGCATGGGGGTGTAGGGCATGAGCCGGGGCGTGGTATCAGGGGGGCCCAGGCCAGCCCTTGCCTCCTACCTGGGTGCTGCGGGAAAAGTCCCGGAGCTTCTGGTGGATCTGGGCCCAGGATTCAGCATGCAGACCCCTGAGGGGAGGAGGAGGAGGAGTGGTTTCCAGAGCTGGTGTGGTGACACTGGGGCAGACCTGTGACTGCTAAGGTTCCCAGAACTGGGAGGGGACACCTCCTGGGAGTGAGTGAGGGACAGCGTGGCCCCCTGTGCTCCTGTGGCCCAGCCTAGGCCTTGGAGCCCTCTGTGCATGGGGTTGGCCCCGGGCCCGGGGGTCTGCTGGCTGCTCAGGGAGGGCTAAACCACAGGCCAGTCCAGACAGTACCCCAGCGTCAGCAGGATGCCACCCCACAGTGTACCCTAAACCCTGGGAGATGGTCCTTGGGGAGCCCTGCCCCTGGTACAGCTGCAAACATGGAGGCCCAGAGGCACGGGCTGGCTGGGGCACCCGGCACCCTGCTCCCGTCCTCAGGGCCTCCAGGTCTCAGTGGAGACGTTGCTCACGTGTGCTCTCCCAACCCTCCATGTTCAATGCCCGCAGCAGGCCCCTTTTCCCTCTCCTGTGATTATCAGTGTCCCTGCTACCAGAGGGACCCGGGGGTGGGTACATGCCACTGAGTGCACTGCTGTGACCAGACCCTGGTCAGCAGGAGGCATGGTGGAGTAACTGGGGGACTCAGGGCTCTCTCCCTGCAGGCCTCCCCCACACCTGTGAGGGCACTCACTGTGGCTCTGACGCTCCCCTCTGGGTGGCATCACTGGGTCCCTTCTGTGGGCATGAGAGCAGCGCCCCAGGCCAGCCATGCTGCAGAGGTTTGTGGTGGGGACACCTCAGTTGGCTGGACAAGGCAGGCCCCTCAGATGCCTGGGCCTGGGGTCTCTGTGGAGCCCAGGATGAAGCCTGGGGCAAGTTCTGGGGCTCTGTGCCTCTAGGCCAGTGTGGAGCAGCAGGTGGGTGGGAGATACCTGGGCCTGGAGTTTCTGGGGGTCTCCGGCCTCACCTGGTCCTCCCGCTGGCTGAAGTCAGTGACCAGTGGCATGGGCAGTGGTTCCAGGTCCGAGCTAGCTGCATCTAAAGTAGCTTTGGGGTTCCCAGGTGCCCTGTCGGGGTAGGCCGGTGTCTGTGTGAGCCACTCCTGCTGCACACTCAGCTTTGCGGCACAGAGGCTGAGAGATGCCTCCCACCCCAGGCACCGGTGTCAGGGCGAGGCCCACCTGTAGGCACCCAGCAGCTCCTCATGCCTGCGGCTCAGGTCTGCCAGCCGCTTTTGATAGGTGCGGGCGGCCCGGGCCAGCTGCTGTTCACGGCCGCGGTACGCTACCCGGATGTCCTCCAGAGTGGCTTCCAGGAATGTCCGGAGAGTCGTGCTGGCCGGTTCCTGGCCTGCACTGTCTGCGCGCTCCTGGAGGTGGTGGGCTGGTTCCGCATGGGGCCCACCCCATCTTTTCCAGCCATACCCCCCACCCCAGCAGACTGAGCAGTGCGGGGGCCCACGGGATGTCCCTGAAGCTGTCCAACACGCCCAGGCCAGGCTGGGCTCCCCAGGCCTCAGGGTGCTCCTGCAGGGCTCACCACCGCCTCCCGGGCACAGCGCTGCAGCCGCAGGACGTACTCCTCCTTCAGCTGCTTGAGCTGCAGTTGCAGCCGGGCATTCTCAGCCTCTGCCTGGCGGAGCTGGCCCTGGCAGCTGCATAGCACCTGGGGCAGAGGGAGCCCTCAACTTGTGTCCCAGGAATGGACCTGGATGGGCCTGTGGGGCCCCACCCTCCGGGTCTCCAAGCAGGCAGGGCAGGGCCTCACCACAGCCTGTGTGGCCAGTTGATGCCCGGCTGCCCTGGCCTCCTCTCGGGCTCCCTGTAGCTGCTGGCCCAGGGCTGCCCTGAGGACATGGGGTGAGGCTCAGCACGCCCACGGTGGGTGAGGGGTTCTCTGCTCCGCAGTGGGGCCCTGCTGAGCTGTCCAGGCCCCAGGTGAGATGGCCACTCACACACGAGTCTCCAGTGCCTGCTGCCGGGCCTCCTGACGCTCCAGTGCCCACTTTACTTCTTCCTGAAGCTGCCCCTGGCCCCCCAGCAGCTGTGGGGCACACAAGGCTGGTGGATGAGAGCCTAGGCTTGGGGTCCCCTGTGCTGCCCTCTCCCCTGAGCTAGGGGGCTGCACACTCACGCCACTCCCCAGCCTCTGCTGCTTGTTCTGGGGACTAGTGAAGTCCTTGGGCTGCACCTGAATAGAAGGGAGACAGGAAGGACCAAGGGGTGGGTGAGCCCCGGTCTCACTGAGTCTCCTGCTGAGGCTTCCATCCGGCCTCTCCCAGCCAGGCCCTCCATGTGACCTGGAGTCTGCGGTCATCAGAGTGTCCAGGCTCCTGGGGTTTGTGTCTGCGCCCTTGGGCTGGTGCCCGGCAGTGCCGGGGGTCAGCCTCCAGCTCCAGCACCCGGCTCTCCAGCCGAAGGATCTGTGGGACAACTGGCATGAGCGGTGCACCTGCCTGCAGGCTGCTGAGGGAGGTGAGCATCAGCCCAGCACACGCCTGGGCACGCAGCATGCATGGGGCAGGCCGAGACCCACGGGTGGCACTCTCACGTGCACGCCCACACAGGGCACATGTCCTGGGCCTGCACCCGTTTCTTGTGCACTGAGGGTGGCACATGGCTGCTCACCTCACTCTTCAGCTGGAAGATTTCAGCCTCGTGCTGCTCCTGCAGGCGGTGGGTTGTGATCTGAATGTCAATGAGCTCCTTGGAGATCTGTGGGCGGCCAGGTGAGAGGTGGCATCTGCGGGGTCTGCCGGCACCCTCCCTCCTCCGCACCCTGGGCACCCACACCCACCTGCAGCTGCTGCTCCTCACTCAGCGCTAGACCTGGCGGGACCTCTGCCCCCAGGCTGGTGGCCCAGGCTGCGGTGCCCCCAGGAGCTCCTGGCAGCCAGTCCTTGGCTCGTGGCACAACCTGGAGAGGCACCACCACCCATTCCCCAGGGTGGGCTGTGGCCCCACTCCCATGCAGTCACCAGCCCTGTTCCCCACTTGGCTAGGCTGCAAAAGTCCTTCCCCTAGCTGAGATCAGACCCACAGTACAGGGACCTGCACCCTCCTGGCCTCTGCTGGAAAGGGCAGACTCCAGCCCCATGGAAGGAGCTGCAGCTTCCCCTAGGACTCACATTCTCCACCCGCCGAAAGGGAGGTCCTGGCCTGGGGCCTGTGGTGGCTGTATGCTCCATAGGCGAGGGGACCCTGGCCTGCTCCGAGCCGGGTATTGCCTCCACGCCTGGCCTCCCTGTGGCTGCCGCTGCCACCACAAGCACTGCTGCGCGCGTTGCCAAGGCCTCTGTTGGTCCCAGGAAACTGCCAGGGCCCTGCCCACAGGGACAGGGCGAGACCCACGATTGTGGAGGGGAAGGACAGCTCTTCCTCTCTGTGCCTCCGTTTCCCCCTCTGGGGAATGCGGCCCAGCGCTCCCTGCACATTCCCTGTGGGGGTGGAACCAGGTGCGTGAAAGCACTCAACCTGGGCGCGGCGACAAGCACGCGGGACGGAGCGCGCTACCCGCACGCAGAGTGCTCTGGGCCACACTCGTTGGACACCTTCTGTGAACCTTGCAGTGCTGGCTGAGCCCCGGGACGCGAAGGTGAACAAACTGGACTGATCTCTGCACCTCCGGCCTGAGAAGTGTGGGGGCAGACGTCCCCATTGGGGACAGAGAACTCGGAACCGACTGGCTCAGCCCGGGCTCCTGAGGGCTTCCTGGAGGAGGTGCCAGCGCCGGGCCCGGCGGGGTCAGAACGTGCGCGCGGCGCCCCACCGGGCACGCGCGCACCCCTGGCGGGCCTTGTGGTCTCACGGCGCGCAGGATCCCGGCCGGGCGGAGGCGAGGCGCGTCCGCGGAGGGGGGCGGTTGGCGGCTCCCGAGCCCAACGCCGCACTCCGTCCGGACCCCGTGACCGGCGACCGAGGCCCCGCCTCCATCTGTCCGTCCTTCGGGCCGTTCGCGCAGCCGTGCGGGTGAGGCGGGCGGCGGGGAAACGCGGCTGCTTAGGGTCGGGGTCTGGCGGCGGGGCGGGGCCTGGGAGGAAGGCGGGGCCTTCGGGGGCCGGGGCTCGGGCTGGGGGCGGGGCCGGGGCGGGTTCGGGAGGGGCCGGGTTCCGCTCTCGAAGGAGCCGGGTGCGTGGAATTCCACGCGAGTGCCGGGGAGTTCCTGGGGAGCCTCCAGTCTCCTCCTCTGCACCCCCGCGTGTTGACTGAGCCGCCTCGCACAGCCCTTCCTAAGGTGTGGAGAGCGGGCCCCGCCCTGAAGGGGCACCGTGGGCTGGGGGGCCTGTTTTGGAGCAGGCACCCGTGGCCGAGCTCCGCGGTCATGAAGGTCAAGGTCATCCCCGTGCTTGAGGACAACTACATGTACCTGGTCATCGAGGAGCTCACGCGCGAGGCGGTGGCCGTGGACGTGGCCGTGCCCAAGAGGGTGAGGGCAGGCCGCGGGTGGCAGGGACCCGGCCGTGCCCCCCAGAGCCTCCCCGACCCCCTGGCATGAGCGGTCCCCACGTGCTCTGCTCTTCGGGCGTCACTGGCGGCTGGGGTTGCTCGATTATCTCGGGGCTCCCTAAAGTTAGGGCGTCTCTGGCCTCCGCCCTTCCCCTGCTGCCTGGCCATCCCCGCACGTGCAGGGGCGCAGCTACTGCCCCCTGGGTCCCCGCTCTCCGGCGCTGCCCGGGGTCCTGGCCGGCCTGGGGCGCTGAGCGCGTCGGACCTGGCGCCCCGATATGGAGAGGAAGGGAATGGCCCACTGGGACCGTCTGTGTCATCACCACTCCCGTCCCTTTCAGCTGCTGGAGATCGTGGGCCGGGAGGGGGTGTCCCTGACCGCCGTGCTGACCACCCACCATCACTGGTGAGCGCCGGCGGGGCGGGAGGAAGCGCGAGGACGCCGCCCCGCCCCACCCGGACCTGACCTGGCCCCGCCCGCCCGTCCGCAGGGACCACGCGCGGGGAAACCCGGAGCTGGCGCGGCTGCGTCCCGGACTGGCGGTGCTGGGCGCGGACGAGCGCATCTTCTCGCTGACGCGCAGGCTGGCGCACGGCGAGGAGCTGCGGGTGAGCGCGCGCCCCCGGGAGGGCGGGGTGGGCGCCCCGGGACCGCCCGCCCTCACGGGTCCGCCTGCTCCTCCGCCGCAGTTTGGGGCCATCCACGTGCGCTGCCTCCTGACGCCCGGCCACACCTCCGGCCACATGAGCTACTTCCTGTGGGAGGACGATTGCCCGGACCCCCCCGCCCTGTTCTCGGGTACCCGCCGCGCGGAGCGCGCCCACCCCGCCTCCCGCCGGCCCCGCCCCCTCTGCTCTGACCCGCCCTCCCCCGCCAGGGGACGCGCTGTTGGTGGCCGGCTGCGGCTCGTGCTTGGAGGGCAGCGCCCAGCAGATGTACCAGAGCCTGGCCGAGCTGGGCACCCTGCCCCCCGAGACGGTGAGCGGGCCTGGGCCCTCCCCTGCTTTCCCGTGGGCACAGCCCCCACGCTCCGCACCCGCACTGCGCTGGGGTGCGGAGTCAATGCCCACCAGAGGGCAGAGCGGGGGGGGGGAGGCCAGGCAGCGGCGCGAGCACTGCCAGGCTTCCCGGCCGCGTGCGCGCTCACGAGGCTCTTCCTCCAGAAGGTGTTCTGCGGCCACGAGCACACGCTCAGCAACCTGGAGTTTGCGCAGAAAGTGGAGCCCTGCAACGTCCACGTGAGAGCCAAGCTGTCCTGGGCTAAGGCACGGCCCCTTCCCGCCTCGGCTGGAGGGTGGGGGAGGACGGGCTTCGGGGGCTCTCAGACAAGCCCCAATGATGACCAGGGCCTGTGGTCACTCCAGAAGAGGGACGAGGACGATGTGCCCACGGTGCCCTCGACTCTGGGCGAGGAGCGCCTCTACAACCCCTTCCTGCGGGTGGCGTGAGTATGGCCGTTGTCTGGGGCCTCGGCAGGCATTGGGACCCTTAGGAAGGCATCTGGGGGCCTCGTGGAGGGCTGAGCGTCCCTGGCTCGGGGGAGGCTGCTCATTAAGTGGCTTCCTGCCCACCCTCCCGCGTCGGCGGTGGGCCCCGCGCCTCACTGCACCCCTCTCGCAGAGAGGAGCCCGTGCGCAAGTTCACGGGCAAGGCGGTCCCCGCCGACGTCCTGGAGGCACTCTGCAAGGAGCGGGCACGCTTCGAACAGGCAGGCGAGCCGCGGCAGCCACAGGCACGGGCCCTCCTTGCGCTGCAGTGGGGGCTCCTGAGTGCAGCCCCCAACAAGTGAGCGTCCCCCCAGACCCTCACAGGGCTGGGTCTCACATCCCTCTTCGCGACCTCAGCCAGCTAGACTCACGCAAGGGGCACCTCTGGAAGCTTCTTCGAGGCTCTGGCCTGCCAGCTGCCCAGTCTCAGAGGGTGGACGTGCATGACCACTCTGTCGGGCCCGTGTGGGCCTGGAGACCTGGGTGTTTGGGAAGTGGGGTGCACGGGGCTTCTGAATCTTGAATAAAGCCGTTTTCCGTGCTGGCAGACGTGCCAGGAGAGGAGCTGTTTTCACAGGCGCATTTGAGGAGGGTGCCTTTATTAGACGTAAGCGCTAGGAGACGGGCCTTGTGGGGACCCGGCTGGGGGATGTTGCAGCCAGTGATGCCCGCTGTTGTCCTCGGCTCGCCCCTCGGGGCTTGCCCCCTGCTTTCCAGGGGACCCGGTGGGACCAGCTCTGTCTCCCACCTTCGCAGAGCTTCGGGGGAAGCCTCTAGAAGTTGGGGGTGATAACCCATCTTGTTCTGTCTCAGGCAACCCCAGGACAGGCTGAAGCGTCTCACACACTTGGGTTTATTTGTGGGCCGCAGCCCAGGGACAGCAGAAGAGGCTCTGGAACCTCAGGGAGCCTTCTGTTGCCTGGGCAGCCCCACCCACCTGGGCAGAGCCAGAGGCACCCGGACTGGAGGTGATGGGGCAGCTGCAGTCCTGGCCAGTCCTGGCTCCTACTTGGGTCCCAGCACACCCTGCAACTCACTGAGAATTTTGGAGGGAGCCCTGGGGTCTTGTGTCACGCACGCACAAGGCCTCCTGGGAGTGCGGGTCCTGCTGCCCCTACCACCGGATGCCCAGGCCAGTGCTGGCCTTCTCCACGGCGTGGTACTGCGTGTGCAGCAGGCAGCACGCACGCTCCGAGTCCGTGCCCTGCAGCCAGTGCGTGTACAGCTCCTGAACCCCAGGTGCGTCCTCGGGCGCCTCCACCCGGACCATGCCGTACAGGCTCTCCACGTGCTGGAGGAGCTCCCTGCTGGGCCGGTCTGGGGCCTGGAGCTGGCCCCCGCCGTTCAAGCAGCCTGTGGCAGAGCAGACGGGACACGTGGGTCACAGCACGCGCCCTGGCCGAGCCTCCTGACCACCGGGAGCAGGCAGGTGACTGGGCGCCTGTGCCCCACTTCTTCCCACTCCCAGCCTGCTGGACAGTGGCCCACCGCTCTGGTCCCAGGAGGGGCCCTCATGCGCCGTCCCTCTCGGGAGCTACCTGAGGGGCAGGCCATGACCTCCACGTAGTGGTAGGGGCAGCGCCCACGCTTGAGCCTCTGCACCAGGTTCTGGATGTTTCGGAAGCCGTAGGCCATTGCAAAGTGCAGCAGCACCTGGCCTTCCTTCTCCAGCGTCACCTCCTGGAAGTCCTTGTTCCTGGGGGCACAGACGGGGTTTGTCTATGTGGCACAGTCCCCCGGTTCCGGCCCGCCTGGATGGGGAGGCCTGCTGGGGCCAGGAGACGACCAGGCAGCTCTCAGTGCTCCCTCCCTCTCTACTGAGCAGGGTGAAGGACAAGGACAGACAGAGAGGGTGGAAAGCTCACTTCCACGAGTCCAGCAGGTGACCTCACCCCCAGCCTTGGGCTCCCTATCTGTAAGATGGGCCTCCCTCCCCAGGAATGTCTGTGAGGCCCCAGCCCTCCCTCCTGGGACACGGCCTCACATGCCCCAGGCCAGGTACCCGCCACCCTTGCCCATGCTGGCCTCTTGGGCTCAGGGTCCCCATTCCCCACAATGGGCAGACTGAGGCCTGGAGCACTGTGGTGTATTCACAACCAGGAAGGCCCTGCCTGTGCCCAGGGTCCCCTCCAAACCCTGCAGGCCGTGCCCCAGCCAGCCTGTCTCTGCGGGAGGACCCCAGGCCGAGGCAGCAGCCCGAGGAAGGCAGTGGGCAGTGTGGCCCCTCCGCCCAGAGATCTGGCCCATCCCACTGACCTCAGGGGTTTGTAGGTAACCTCAGCCACTTGGATTCCAAAGAGCTCTTGGGCCGCATGCCGGAACACGTGCTCCAGGTAGCCCCCCGAGCCCCCTCCCCGATGGCTGGTGGGCTCCTCTGCAGAGGCTCCGCTGCACCTGGCAAGGAGGGAGAGGCCTCAGCACAGTTGTGGCTGCTGCCTGCCGACCTCCCGAGCACGTGAGTGTTTGCATTTCCAGGTGGGAGAGAAGTCACAGGCACAGAGGAACAGCTCTTGCGTCCCTGGCCATCACGGGAGGCCGGCCACTTCCTGGCCACCATGGGGGCTCAGCCACTACTTTTTTTTTGAAATGGAGTTTGTCTTTGTTGCCCACGCTGGAGTGCAGTGGCGTGATCTCGGCTCACTGCAACCTTCACCTCCCAGGTTCAAGCGATTCTCCTACCTCAGCCTCCTGAGTAGCTGGGACTACAGGTGCCCACAACCACTCCCGGCTAAAGTTTGTATTTGTGGTAGAGACAGGGTTTCAACATGTTGGCCAGGTTGGTCTTGAACTCCTGACTTCAGGTGATCCACCCACCTCGGCCTCTCACAGTGCTGGGATTACAGGCGTGAGCCACAGCTCCTGGCCACTCAGCCACTTCTGTGGACGCTGAGATGGGCCGTGGGGAAGCAGGCGCAGAGCGGGGAGGGGGCAGGGGATGCTTCTCCAGAGGCAGCATTAGAAGCTAAAATAATGGTTCTTGGTGCCAGACATACGTACAGGCTGTCCAGAGGGTGGGGCTCCAGGTCGCGCAGGGAGACGCCCTCTTCCTCCAGCAGCCTGAACACTTCTCCTGCAAGGAAGCCATAGCACAGACGCCCTTCCACTGAGATCCGGAAACCAAGTCAGAGAACAGCCAAGCTACCTGCCTCCCTAGCAGTCGTCTGCAGTTTGGCCCTAGAGGGTCCCAAATGTCCACCCCAGCCCATGGTGGGAGGCCAGACCCGGTCACTTCTGAAGCCCCTCTGGAGGCTGCCTGGTCCTGCCCAGGGAGGTGTGGTGGCGGGCGTGGCCGCTGTGCCCATCCAGCATCCGTCTGTCCAGCCTCTCGGGCAGTTTGCTTTTTTGCCTTATATTTGGGAGGCTTGGGGCTGCTCAGCTCAGGAATGGGTGAGTAATGGGAGCTGAAGGGGCTGCACTGGAGAATCGCCTCCGCCTCCAAGGACTCATTTCAGAGCCAACAAGGAGGTGCTGCGGGGGCCCATCTGCACAGGTCCCCGAGACGGGCTCCAAGGGGAGAGAAGGGGGTACGCGACCCCCCAAGCTCCAGCCAGGGCCCCTGTAGGCAGGATCCTGGGCAGTCGCCACCTGTGCCCGGGGCTCAGGAACCAGGCCAGGAGGCTGGAGGGCTGGCTCAGGGCCGCCCGGCGTGACCGCACCTGTGGTGAGGACGCAGTCCACGTCCCGTGTCTGGTGCTCCTCGTTGAAAAAGTCGGGTCTGGAGGCTTCCAGCTTCTTGTCATAGCAGGGCATCACTGTGACGTGGTAGACCTTGTCGGGGGTCAAGTGCTATGGGGAGAAAGAAAGCCTAGTCTCCCCAGTCCCAGCAGTGAGGTGGCCCAGGCGCGGCCTGGATCTCAGCCATCCTGTGGCCAGGCCAGACCCCAAGGGACCACCAGCCTCACCCTGTTTCCCAGCAAGCCTCCTGCTGGCTCTTTGGATGTGTCCCCGGACAGGACGGGCCCTGGCTGTCACAGAAAATGACACTGACCCGTTCCCAGTATGCCTGTGCTCCCTAACAGCCAAGGCCAACGGAGGAGAAGGGGCCTCCCACGGCTCAGCTCAGGCCCTCTCACTGCGTGATGTCACCGGGAACCAACCAGCACAGGTGAAATTCTGCGTCCAGATGGGCGGGAGGGGCTGCAGGGGACACAGGCGCTCCAGGCCCAGGCACCGCCAGGGCCACCCTCGCCCTCTTCCGCCCCCTGCTGGCTGAGTGGCATCAGGCTCAGATCCCGCTGGGCCTCAGGTGGGGGCCCTGCTGGGTGCGCTCGTGGACCTGGTAGCCCAAGGGGTGGGCGCCTAGCCTGGGTTGCCTGGAGCCTCCGGCTCCCTCAGCCTCAGGCCTGGCTGCCTCTGGGTGAGTGGTAGGCACCTCTGAATCAGAACATGGTGCTCTGTTGCCCAGCCGGAGGGGAAGGGCCTGGACCAGGAAGGAAGGAAGGCGGAGGTGCGCCCGGGAAGGCAGAACCCACGCCGAGGACTCTGATTCTTGCAGCCTCGCAGCCAGCGGCCAGTGCGGTCACTTGCGGCTGCTCCTCAGCCTGAGCCTGGGGCTGGCCCAACGCTGTTACCTGCTGCTGTGCAAAGAAGTCCTTGACCAGGGAGCCCATGACCTGCTGCGGCGACCGGGCGGTGCTGATGTGGGGCAGGATGAAGCTGCCGTGGGTCTTCTCGGCGTAGCAGATCCAGCCTGAGGTGACAGGGGCACGTGGGGCTGGCGGAGGCGCACGGCAGCCTCTGCACCCACCGGTGGCAGCACCACATTCCAGGGGCGGCCCACTGGCACAGATCACGGTGACGCAAAAGAGCGCCGGTTCCTGTTCTCTCCCACCCCCGTGCGGGGCTCGGGTACAGGCGGGCACTGCCTAGGGGACCTGAGGTGACTTCGGGCGGCTCCCAAGGCAGGCAGCTCCTTCTCCAGAAAAGGCCACGTGAGCCGACGTTTCTAACCTGGCCTTCAGAACCGCCTGCGTACCCAGCCCCCACCCCACCTTGTCATTGCTGTCCACGTGCCCCGTTTTCACTTCACTTGAACTTGACCCTCACCACCTGCACATGAGCACACCTGGGCAGGCGGAGGCCAGCACGGGCAGGGCCTGTCCTCGGAATCGCTGCACGAACTCTCGCTGGCTCTCCAGGAGGCTGAAGTTCCTTGAGAAGGCTGTGTCGAAGACGAAGTGCACCCCTGGAAGGAGGGGCCTGTGTAAGCCCACGTGGGACGCCCACTCACGCACGAGCCAGCATGTGGACCCCCGTGGTGCTGCTGGGGGGCCATGTGTGGTAGGTGTCCACTTCCCATGCCAAAGCATCAGTGCCACCGTGGTGACCTCCTGAAGCCACCCTCCTGGCTCAGCGTGGCTGATCCAGGGAACTGCCATGTACGCTGCTCCTGGTGACCCTCCCTGGGGCACAGCAGGACACTGCCTGCTGGACTGGCCCCTCGGACTCTGCACAGCGTTGACCCCACACGCAGCAGGACTCCTGGAGCACCTGCCGGCTCCAAGCCCAGCAATTAGAGCTGCTCGGTAAACCTGCTGAGCGTGCCCTGGATCCCAGCAGGCACCGGCCTGGGGCTCCCTCCCTCTCCCTGCCTGACCCGCCATTCCTGCCTCAAATAACCCCTGGTCGGACGACTGGCCTTGGACTCACTGTGCCCCACCTGCCCGTGATCTGGAGGTAAAAATCTTTGGACTTGCTTCCTATTCAGGTGGGGACTAAACCCACACCTTCCACCTGGAGAACCAGGGGCTGCTCCAGGCTGCATTCTCCCTGGGACACCGGCTCCCAGAGCAGGAGCACTGTCAGGCAGCAGCTGCATGTGGGTCAGGCAGGAGCCACGGGGCACCTGCCAGTGTAAACAGGTTTCCTGTGTGAGGGACCCGGCGCGGTGGATGCCAGGCAGTCTGCTGGGTGCCAGGCGCACAGCCCTCCGTCACAGGAGTGAAGGGCGGGACACGGTGGTTCCGGTGAAAGAGGCAGGGCAGCCAGCCATGGGGCACTGCAGCCTGGTTAGCTGGGGCCTCTCGACACCCAGGTCCTCCCCCAGCCCCATGCCAGGCACACAAGCGAACTCAAGCGAAGCCGACCTGAGCTGAACCTGACAGAGCCCTGGAGAGAGCGCCTTAATCACATCAGCTAAAAAGTACCCGGAGGCGGTGAGCCCAGCTTAGAGAAAGTGCACAGCCAGAATGCAGACGTTTTCTGCTCGGAGGCGCTGCTCTCAAATGTCAAATCAGAACTTCAGGCTGAGGTCACAGAGGGAATACACAGTTCCCGTGGCGCTGAAGTTCAGAGCGGGTTGGCGTGTCAGTGACTTGGAGGCCCGAGGAGCGTTGGCTCACTCAGACGCCCCCTTGGTTTGGAGCTGCAGCGTGTACCCCGGGTTCAAAGCCTACCTATTTTTTTAAAGAACGAGGTTAATTTCCTGGCGGTGTCTGTGGGATTCAGCTGGAACTGTGCAGCCAGCGATGCTCTAGACTGCGGCGACACAGAAACCACAACCAGCCTCTGCTGACCGGGCGCTGCCGCCTGCAAAGCAAGTGGGATACGCTGCTCACTGTGCTGGCCTCACGCCCGTTCCCGGGGCCAGAGCGGTGTGGTGCAGCGTCGGCTGGGGAGAGGGCACGCGAGCTCCATCAACGGTTTCTTTTTTTAGAAAGAGTCTCGCTCTGTTGCCTAGGCTGGAGTGCAGTGCTGTGATCAGGGCTCCCTGCAACCTCCGCTTCCCAGGTTCAAGAGATCCTGTGCCTCGGCCTCCTGGGTAGCTGGGATTACAGCATGAACCACTGTACCTAGCCAGGGGTGTCATTTTTTGTTTGTTTGTTTTTAGAGTCTTACTCTGTCACCCAGGCTGGAGTGCAGTGGCATGATCTTGGCTCACTGCAACCTCTGTCTCCTGGGTTCAAGCACTTCTGCCTCAGCCTCCTGAGTAGCTGGGACTACAGGTATGCACCACCACACCCGGCTAATTTTTGTATTTTTGGCAGAGATGGGGTTTTACCAAGTTGGCTAGGGCAGTCTTGAACTCCTGACCTCAGGTGATCCACCCACCTCGGCCTCCCAAAGTGCTGGGATTACAGGCGTGATCCACTGCACCCAGCAAGGGAGTCATTCTGATTATACTTAGAACCAAAGTCTGGGGCCTGACATGTTACCACTGGAGCAGACTGATAAGTAAATCACTGAGATGCCAGGCCTCAAAAAGGCAGGCGCCACCTGCAGACACAAGACGGTGACACCTGACGAGCTGCCCTTGGCAAAACGTGTTGTCGTCGGCTGCTGGGGTGGATTTCAGGTTAAAGCAGAGTCCCCAGGCTGCCCACCACTTACCCTGTTAGCATCTAGAACCTTCTTCAGCTCCTCATGGCTCTGCTGGGTGATGAGCACGGTCTCTGCGGAGGTGACGCAGCCACTGCACGCCAGGCAGTCGTTCAGCGAGACCTTGGCCTTCTCCAGCCTCCGGGTCCCGCCGTCCTGCGAGGCAGAAGAACTGGGTGCGCAGGGGCCCCCTCCACACGAGGACGGCGGAGTCCTTGCTTGTAACCAACAACCAACATGGTTGCTGGCTGGGCTTGTGTGCCACTTAATTTTTAAAAATCAGATTACATATTAGAAAAATGCACATCCATGCGCTAGCTTTTCATAATGCCCTCGAGGTGGACTTTTTGGTGTGACTTGGTGAGTGCATGAGAATCACATGAATAAGGCTCCACTGGTGTCCCAGCGGAGCGGCAGCCACCCCGCCCGCCCAAGGTGCCCTACTCTTTGCGAGTGACGGATCTGAACTAGAAAGTCTTACACAGTTAGAACTAGGGGGAACGGACAGACAGGATCCACCATCTCTGCAAAATAGCCCCTGTGCTGAGCAGATCAAGCTCGCTGTTCCGCCTAGGTGCTGCCCACTCACCTGCCCCAGGCACCCTGACCCCCAGCCTCCCAGACGGCAGGCGAATTCTACCGGCGGGAATGGACTCGTGAGACGTAGAGTGTCTCAGGGTCAATGCTCCGAGCAGGGAGGAAGCAGAGAAAAGTGTTTCAGATCAGCCGAGCAGGTGAGACGGTGGAGCAGCCTCCGGTGCCTTACTTGGTTAACTTGGAAGTAGCTCCCGTCATCTTCAATGCGAATCTTGGCCACGCCACTTCCCAGCCTTTTTTCCACATTCACGGGCTTGATGCACTCCTAGACCAGGAAGACACCCCAAGTCAGGGCCTGTGAGGGGGCAGAGGCTCTCGGGGACACACGGCCTGAAGGCTCTGCCGGGTGGCGTACACTCAGGGGCTGAGGCTGGCCCCAGTGTCTTCCTCCTGCCCACCGCTCTCACACAGGGCACAGGTTTCCAACTTCCTGCGGCATTGAAGGTCCCAGTCTGCACGAAGGCCAGCGCTGATGGCGGCTGCAAACTCCCCACCCACGGAGATACCACCCACAAGGACCTTCACACCGTTCATGTGAACAGGAGGCATGACCAACACAGAGGCCAGAGTGTCGCGCCGGCGTGTGCTTGGATCTGTGTGGCGGTCACCTCTTGCCCAGTGCCCAGGAAACGAGTTCATTTCTCTCCCTTCTCCTTGATCCTAGAGAACCCTATCAGCCCAGAAAGCCGCCTCCCAGCAGCCCGCCTCTGGCCCTGCTCAGCTGTGGCCCCGCACAGCTGCTGGTCATGGATAGGCAGGTGCACCGAGATAAGGGCGCCTGCCGCCTCCCGGGTTCAACAGCAGCTGTCCAGCCCACCCGGGCGACGTCAAGGGCAGCTCTACTGAGGAGCCATTGCGGGGCGTCCAGCGGGCCCGCCACCGCCCTCAGCTGAGGTGGGGTCCCCGCCGCGTCCGTTTATGCGATGTAAAGGCTGTGTCGGGTTAGGGTCAAGGTTAGGGTTAGGGTTAGGGCTAGGGAGGGGTGGGAGCCGTCTCCGCGCCTCCCCTGGGCCGGGCAGGATGACGCGAGCCCGCGACCCCTGGACCCTCCCACACAGCCCGCCCGGACACCGGGGGGCACAGGAGTGGGCTGGGGGACGCCGCCCTCCCTGGCCTCAGTTTCCCTGTTGGTAAGATGCGGGCCGCGGTGTCTGAGGTCCCGCGCCGGGGACTGCGGCCCCGACCGGGCTCCCGGGATTCGGATCTCATTCCTCAGGAGAGGAAGTGGGGCGCAGAGCAATCTCCCTCCGCGCGAGAGGGCACCCGAGCGCAGCCTCGTCCCCGCCCGCCCAGGCCGGCCCACCTGAGACGGCCCGATGAAGTCATTCAGGTCCGTCAACTGCAGCGCCCCGCTAAAGGGCGACGCCATGACGGCCGCACTGCCGCCGCGCGCAGGTGTCGCCAAGTGGCGCGAAACAACGGGTCTGTTCCGCCACGCTGCCGGAAAGCGCCCCCGGAGCGCATGCGCGCCTTTCCCCGCGGCCGGCGCCCTCTGCTGACGAGCCCGGAGACTGCGGCTCCCCGGCCGCCCGCGGGAACCCGGGACCGACCCCTTCCTGCGCCTCCCGCGCGTCCCGGGCCCCGGGCCTGGGATCCAGGGGGCGGCCGGGCAGCGCCGCGGCTCCGGCCCGGAGTGTCCCCGCCGTGACGAGGAAGCGGAGGGGATCCTCGCTCGCCCACTTCGTCATCCGCTGCGTCCCTGCGGACCAGGTGCTCCCAGGTGCAACCCGAGAACCCAGAGCGCGCCTGGCACACAGCAGGCGCCCGGCTGGCCTGGGGACCTCGGGCGGGGAAGAAGGCAGGGGTGGGGCGCGAGGCCTCCCCTTCTGGGGCGCCGCTCCCAGGGCCTCCTGCCCCCTTTTCCGTTCTCTCGGAGACCAGCCTGGAAAAGCCCATGCCCCTGGGAGACCCTGAAACAGGACTCTGCGGGCCTACTCGCTGTTTTTTGTGTGTTTTTTTTTTTTTTTTTTTTTTTTTTTTTTAACCTTTTTTTTCCCCCCCAGGAAGCCTAGAAATGAGATTTCTTTCTCTCTCTCTCTTTCTTTCTTTCTTTTTCTTTCCTTTTTTTGAGACGGAGTCTCGCTGTGTCACCCAGGCTGGAGTGCAGTGGCGCGATCTCGGCTCACTGCAGCCCCCGCCACCCGGGTTCAAGTGATTCGCCTGCCTCAGCCTCCCAAGTAGCTGCGACTATAGGCGCACACTTGCCTAATTTTTTTGTATTCTTAGTAGACACGGGGTTTCACCGTGTTGGCCAGGCTGGTCTTGAACTCCTAACCTCGTGATCCACCCACCTCGGCCCACCCCAAAGTGCTGGGATTACAGGCATGAGCCACCACTCCCGGCCGACTCGCTGTTTAAGCTGATGTTCATCATATGTCCGGTTACACATCTAACGGCCGGTTTTATGGGGACTTTTCAGGAAACTCTGGGATGGAGACTGGCATCATTCTGGCCTGGGCAGGCTCAGCCTGTGGAGGTCTCACAGCGGCCACATCCCACGCCCTAGCCTGCGCCACACACTCCCCGGGCTTCTAGGCCCTGATTCCGACCGAGTGTCCCCACCTAGAGACGGCCTGGGCGCTTCTGCACTTGCCCGCACCTGCCCGTGGGGTCTAGGCCATCGGCCTGTGTGGCCTCCTCCATCACTTGCAGCTGCTCCTCTGGGTCAGACAGGACTTTCTTCCTCTGCTGCAGGGAGGAGCTTTCCACAGCACCTGGGCCAGGTGGGCTCCCAGGCCCCAGCCACCACGCCACCTGGCAATGCGTGGCCAAGCTTGGAGATGAGATGCCTGAAATATGTTCTTTTAAAAACAGAGCAGGGGACCGGGTCCCGTGGCTCACGCCTGTAATCCCAGCACTTTGGGGGACCGAGGCGGGTGGATCGAGAGTTTGAGACCACATCCTGGCTCTACTAAAAATACAAAAATTAGCTGGGCATGGTGGCGTGTGCCTGTAGTCCCAGCTACTCGGGAGCCTGAGGCAGGAGAATTGCTTGAACCCAGGAGGCGGAGGTTGCAGTGAGCCGAGATCGTGCCACTGCACTCCAGCCTGGGTGACACAGCGAGACTCCGTCTCAAAAAAAA